GAACGGACGTACGTGATTAAACGCTAATTCCGATTTATTCGACGTACGGCCGTAAGTTTAAGCGCGGTGATGGCGTCAATCGCAGGACCGACCACGGCCGCGTTTTACACGCGATCGTCCACCTACGTGCCCGTAATTTACGACTTATCGGCGCCGCGGCGCGGTGTAATTTTCGCACTCGTGCAAAATTACACCGACGCAGAGCCAGTGATCGTCCCAACGGGCTAGTGCACCCTCTCTCGCATCCCACGCTCTCCCTCTCCCTCTCTCTCTCTCTCTCTCTCTCTGTGTTTCTCTCTCACGCTCCCGCTCTCTGGAAGTGACGCGAGATCGTGCTCCCGGCGCGGGCGGGCATGTACCGGGATGTCGATACCACGAGAAGCGGATGTCAATAGCACGAAGTCACTCCTCCGGCGAGGGAGAGGCCGCGGATCCGCCGATTTTACAAAGCCCTCGCCGCTCTGTCGCCCGTACGCGCTGGAGGAAAAAAGCGTTGGCCGAGAAAGCAAGAGTGACGGAGGAGTCCTTTATCTTCGGGGGAGGACGAGATTTTATTATATCGAAAGACTATATCCGGATATGGACACGCAGAGAACACAGAGAGAAGAGAGCGAGAAAGAAAGAGAGAGAGAGAGAGAGAGAAATATATGTCATATTAGTAATAAAAGTTATTATATATATATGTCAGTATTTAGAAAATGTGCCTGCATGTGAAAAATTATATTCTGAAAAAAAACTCTTTAAATAGCATTTACTAATATCTCGAAGCTTGTCCGCATAGCACTAAAACAAGTATTTTTAAATATGCCCGTTTGATTAACGGAAGCGGACATTTCACACCTGGACGCCAGAACTATGATTAAAAAAAAAACAGACATTTCGCATGTGGAAGTCAGAATTAGAATTCAGGAAAACAGGTACTTCGATATCCGTAGGCTAAAACATCATTGGACTCGAATTCTGAGATCAAGCTCCTCGACTGATGTAGAAAACTTTCATCTTAGATTTCGTGTCTTTAGATTTAAAAAAAATTCGTGATATAATAGAACTAGTAAGGAAAACAAACGCGGAGAGAAAAATCAAAAAATAATGATTATCTTAAGAGAAACATATATGAGATAATTACACTAATTGTTTAGAAAGTTTAATCAGCTTAAAAAGCAAATATTAAAAAATCGTATAAAGTACAAAGCATTTAAAAAGACGCATATATTAATTATATATATTATATTATTAATTATATATATTAATGCTGAAGAATAAAATTTTCTCACGTCTCAGCAAATTTTAAATTTCAGAAAATATTGTATTAGGACTGAAAATTGGATGGCATTTAGCTAAATGTACGATACTAAAATATTAAACCATATTCTGCCAGCTATGTTTATAAAAGAGGTAGAGAGAAAAATAGAATATATATCTTCTCTCATATCTTATGATAACCACCGGGGGCGAGATTTTAATCGTTCCCGGGAGCTTTGCTCTCCCGAGCTTGCCGCTCCTCTTCCGGTTACCGTCTTCTCTTCCCGCGCGTTTTCTTTAGCCTGTCCGAGGCTCTTGGAAAAGTTCAATCCGAAGTGCTGCCGGTGACACTCTCCGACGAGTTAGCGGGCGTGCTCCAAGCACGCTTTTGTATTACTTTGCATCGGTCGCCGTTGTGCCCGCGTCAACTAGACTTAAAGTCTGCGCCCGTAAAAGGGAACGAGAATATCGCGGGCCTTCAAAAACACCATTCGGCTTTTCAAAGACTTTAGCGTTCACGGTTCTCCTATGTCTTTCCGCTCTTATTGAGTTCTTCTCCGCAGCATCTCGCTCGATACACTTTCCTTTGTATCGCGAAAGGGGAGAAAGAGAAAGAGAGAAGCAAAATTCTATACATTTCTCAAGTATTATATTATTAAATCTGAGAAATTTGCGGAATTTTAACAGATGCAAAAGGCGTAGAAAAGTATATTTTATATGTGCATTTTCTTAACTTTAAGCTATACTGCAAATATTTGCGTATCACGCACACATAATTTTAGTGACAATTTTAAAGATTCCTTTACAAGTTATCGAAAGAGAGACAGAGACAGACAGACACAGAGAAAGAGAGGGAGAGAGAGAGAGAGAGAATAATAGATATGTTGCATCGTTATCAAATTTGCGCCCAGCCGAAAACTATTTCGGTGGTGGCACACGTGTTCCACGACTGGAAAACAAGCCTTGTTATGCTTGTGTCAACAAAGGACGCGTGTTCCTCCCCACAGGCGTGTGCTGCATGCGCGTGCAACGCGCTGGAAGAATGAAAGTAAATATCGAACGTGCGGTGCAGGTGGACCGGATAAGATTAAACAGCTGTTTCCGCATTTTATCGGGAGTGCAGTTAACCGCCACGGCTGACTCTCCATCCCCCCTCCCCCTCTTTCTCGAAATGCATTCTTCTCGGGTGCGTTAGCACGTGCAATACCCGCAATAGCGGCAAATGAATTGCGCAAGCAGTCGGGACCGGGACCTTTAAGAGAGAAAATAGTTTCCACTAAAACGCATGCGATAAACTCTACGCGAAATATCTCGAATATTTCGTACCTCATTCCGTTAATTTTTTTTTTTCTTTTTTTTTTTTAATGCACATGTATGTATATCGTAATAAAGATAAAACAAAAAAAAAATAAAACAGGTAAAACTATTCATTAGGTAGATAATTTTAAAAGCTAGACTATATACAGATAAACAATATTTATTTTCTTTTTTTTAAAGCTAATAAAACTGTTTTTTTTTCATCCTATATTATCAATCCTATTAAATATAATAAATATAATTATAACAAATATATAATTCAATATAAACATGAATATATATTATTATAAAATATATAATGATATATAATCTCATATAAATATAATTGCAAATTTAAATGTAATTAAAAAAACAAAAATATTAATATAAAATGAAAGTGACTAAAGTCTGATCTATTGCATTAATTTAATGAAACACACACACTAGAAATATTTTTTATAACCGTTTATAATTATAACCGTACTAATCGCCTTTAAAAAACTTCTCGAGATATTCTATAACTGTATCTGTGAAATTAATGTCTATGATGCATCACGCACACGACATGGCGCATCAAGTTTAATTACGCGTATATCATCAAAATGAATGTTCCGCGTAACGCAAATACGTCGCGTCTCTCTAGGATTTTATCTCGCGATGTCGCCGGGAGAAAGGAAGCGAGACAAAATGGATAGAAAACAGCTGAAGCGCAGCTGGTTTCTGGCATCGCGACGGCTGGCGTCTCCTTCGCGCGCACGCAGGGAGCGTCGCACTCATTGCACGTGCGTATGTGCGTATATATGCACGCGCGCGACGTCTGTGTATAGCACAAACCATCGATGGTAGAAAGCAGAGCCAGAGAGAGAGTCAATACCCAACAATATTTTACGCGGGATGATAACAAACCGCGAGAAGAAAAATTAACATTCGCAACCGGTGATCCGCCGCTCTAACAACTTTCGGAAATTCCATTAATCTGTAAATAATTACGATCGCTACGTGTCCTGGTTACAGCACGCGAGTGATTACGCCGCTTCGTTGAAGAATCCGGGAGAAGTGAAGATCGTAGAGCAAATATTTGAAATTGAGGCAAGAACATGCGAATAAACCTAAACGAAAAAAAAAAAATCTAGCTTCAACGAAGCTACTTATAAACCTTTAAACTTAAAGCTACTTCGAAGAAAAAAATTATGATTCGTGGAATGTGATTTCGATTTTGAAATAAAGGGAATTTTCAAATTACGCGATATAACATCGGTTGTTGTTGTAATATTAAAAAGATATGAATATAAATCCATAAATATCAACGTATCTGCATAAAAAAAAAAGAAAAATTATATCATCCTTTAATACTATAATGATTCAAGAAAGGAAGCGCGCGACTTCTGTGGTACATCCAAAAAAAAAAAATCTAGCTTCAACGAAGCTACTTATAAACCTTTAAACTTAAAGCTACTTCGAAGAAAAAAATTATGATTCGTGGAATGTGATTTCGATTTTGAAATAAAGGGAATTTTCAAATTACGCGATATAACATCGGTTGTTGTTGTAATATTAAAAAGATATGAATATAAATCCATAAATATCAACGTATCTGCATAAAAAAAAAAGAAAAATTATATCATCCTTTAATACTATAATGATTCAAGAAAGGAAGCGCGCGACTTCTGGTACATCTTATAAAACCACGATTTCACATTACATGGCTACAACGTCGACATCACTCACTGTACATCTCGTAGCGCCGAACACGTGCAGTGGACATTTCGAATGACTTTCTCCTAAATTAACGCGCCGAAAGAAGTCACGTGAATCTTTCCCAGACGTCACGGCGACTAAGTATAGCGATCCCGCGCGGGTGCAGTCGTGAAAAGCATTCGCATTAATCTCGCCGCCACCTTTGCCAGCCGGACGAACGAAATATTTCACGACGGCGACGGCTGCGTCCTCGCTAATGAAATGCCCCAGGTGGCTGATGGCCGATGGCGAATCTCGACTCGACTCGATTCGCGAATTAAAGCTCCCGGGTATCCGCAAGGACGCTCTCTCCCTCTTCTCTCTTTCTCTCTCTCTCTCATTGCGTTATCGCTCGCACACTCTCACCGGAATGAAATTGACCAACATCGCTGTACCGTGTGTACAAAGAATTTATTTTGCTCACATTGACAGTATTCACAAGCCCGCAACTTACACAATGATATCGAGATATGATGTATATATAGGCTCGACCTCGATATATCGCGATATATCCGAATCTCTCGTTGCCGATTGATTGATTGATTGATTGATCGTTTGATTAGCTCGTATATTCGCAAGCAACACGAAGCGTGGTAAGACTTTGGTGGTAAGGAGAAGGAGAGGGGGACAACATTATTATAATAAACATTTTCATTCGCTCTCATTCTCTCTCTTTCTCTCTTTCCTCCCCTATCTCTCTCTTTCTCTCATTTATACTGGTCGGCTTTTTTTTTTAGCCGGTGTCGGACGTACAGGATGACGTGTCGGCGTTACTGTGATCGTTGTTGCTCTCCGTTGACGAGCTGTCGTTACTCTTTATTCGCCGTTTGCGCAGCTTCGCGAACTGAAACTCCTCGACCGGCACTGTACACCAACAATGGAAGTCATGTCATTAGTCTTCTGGCTAATTACCGCTGTTTGCGATTTCGTTTTTCTTTTATATATATATAGATAGGACAGGAATAAAAAATTTGATCGGGGTAAGTCAAATCGCAACGTGTGCAGGAGAACGAGAACAAAGAACATTGATATATTTCTCTCTTTCTCTCTCGGCCGACCGAAACGATCTTTACAATGTAGATCGCATCGTCTTACAGTAAGAATGCGCATATACAACGGATTTATTTTTGCGTGAGACCGGGACTTCAGTTTGCGAGATGCAGAATTATCGCGCACCGTCTAAGACGTTAACGAGTCGGAAACGATCCTAGATTTCGACCGAACGGCTTCATCTCGCGCGTTCTCGCATCCGCGAAACCGCGACGTGCATCGACTTAATTTAATCTTTTAATTGAGCTACGCGTCCCTATATACTAAGTTTTGTCGCATCGTGGATTGTGTGCGCGGGACTGTTTCTCGATCAAACTGTAAATCATTATAGACGTACCTATAGAAGTAGATTGAAACTCTGTGTGCGACGAGGTAGACAACGAACGATCTTTATTTACAATAATGCACTATATAACACATAAACAAGCTTTCTTTGCTATGCGCTGCGAGAAGCAATAGATCGGCCATCGTACATCGAAAGCATGTGTTGTTATTCGATATGTATATACATACTTACGCGACAAGTCGGTGAATACGTAATCGAGAGAAAACATGTAAAGTAGTAAACTTCCGTAATTAATGCGCCATCATAGTGTCTCTAACGTGTACATAATATTTCAAATATCCAACATGACGCATTTCTCACTATATATATATATATATATATATATATATATGGAAATTTACTCTTTGTACCATTCGTATTGCGAACTTGCGTCAGTAATATGACGATTGAATTTTACATGCAAATAGTAACTAAAATTTGCGGAAATAATCGGAAAATATCGGAACGCCGTTGCAATTAATATTCTTTCTACAATGGTTTTGTACTAACGTTTTCCACGAGAGAGAAAGTGCACAAATTGTCAGGTAAAGCGCAATCTTGAGAAGCGAGATACGTCGCTTCTTGTTAACATCGATCTCTAATATAGAAATACTCTCTTCAAAATATTCTTTATGTGCATTCTCATGTAGAGGTAATGTACTTACATATTACATTTCACAACGATAAAATCATCTGAGTATTTAAACAATTGGTTCAGACTAAACAGGTCTCTCTCTTTAGTCTCTTACAACAAAACATAGAGACACACTTGATTCATCTCCGCCAATATACATATTAGAAATGTGATGTGTTACCTGAATTAACTGCCCGTTTGTTCCGTTGATAATTTTAAGTAATTTATATTTGTGAACATTGATCGAAAAATCAGATTTACTCTTTAGCGATATGGCTATTTTTAGTAGAGGTTTCATTACCATCTGAGTCGGGATCTCGATCGGCAGCACCGTCAACGGATGGCAATGGCACAATTTCTGGTTCGAGAGGTTTCACCGGACAATCGACATCCTCTACAATGACTTCCTCCGCCAAGCTGCTTCTTACTGCCTCTGCATATTTACCAGCAAATTATATATCTCTTTTTATTTTCATTAAGTTTTTCTATTATATAATTTATGCATATAATTAATTACCATTGAATGCCTGTGGATATTGCTGACTCAATTTATTCTTCACCAAACGAATTCTTTTGAAAATATAATCCAGATCTCTCTTCATCTCGATTAAGAGAGCGATGTGCTTTTTAAATTCTGTGCCAGCTGTTTTGAGTCTATGTACCGACAATTGATTACAATTGGTCAACATCTCGTTAGTTTTTTCGAACCTTTGCAACCTTTGTAATAAAATATAAATATATATATAAGTATATGAGTCAAAGGAAAAAATTGAAGCATCAGAGATGAAACTTACATCTGTTTTTGAGCACGTATCATAGATTCCACATCCTGCTGATCAACGATGCCAGCTAGGCCTTGTACGAATACTTCTGGTGCTGTATAGTTTCTAAAACACTCAAAACTCCCGGTATCCGATTCCGGTGTGTCTTGCGCCGCTGCCATAGTTTTATTTTACTATATCAAATCTATCAGGCTTCGAATTTACTTTCATCATCGAATAACTCCATCATGTGGTTGCGTCTCGCCTGATCGGCATAAGAATTACCATGAAATCACTTGTTCGTACAAAATTTCTCTTGATGCATCTATTTTCGATGACTCACATGATGCGTACTACGTATTACAAATATCCAGATTGCACTTGCCCCCATATCTCTTCCAATATGTCATATTAAGAGAAAAATTATGACTGATCGATACCTTGCGATGGCACCTCTATTGTATCGAGATTTTTTGCTTCGTTATCACTTCAATGCTCTCGTATCATTTTTCCACAAGTATCCTGAGCGAGAGACATCCGAGGACGGTATCATATAGTTAGAGACGGTCTAACCAAACGACGGCGAAGTGTTATCGATTTCACTGGATAACATTTGATATGACGTCAATCTCTTCCTGCGATATCATTGACGGCGCGAAAGAGAAACACGGCTTTTTGTGCGTGATACCAGACGAATAATGCGATTTAAAATCCACGAAGAGATAAACACACACGCGAGATCGACGGAAAAGTCCGCACACGACGCGCCGCCGCCGCCGCCACCGCCGTCGTCGCTCGTCAGCGCAACAGCTGTTTTGCCGCTCGATGTTTTCGGGTCGGGCAATAGAGCGCGTGTAGCATTCAAATTTCCGTCGTGCTGTTGTGTCTTGTGTCGACCGTCAACGAGTCGAGAAGCTTCGCGCTCCGCGAGGAGGATATCTCTCATTCGATTCTCGTTCAAAGTCTGCTCGGGATGGCACAGAACGTGAACCCTTTCAGTTCGACGCAAAATACGCCGACGAAAGCGACCGAGGAGAAGCAGAGCTTACCGAAGGATAATCACGCGGTCAGCAAACGGTATGTTTATCGGATCCATTGGCAGGACACCTTAAACTCGAGTTGATTGTTTTGCCTTTCATTGGATGAATAAAATCGACCGTCAAACGATAAAAAAAAAATTGTTCTGGATTGACTAGAAAGTCGTAGCGTAATTAATATCGCCTTCTTTTTACCATATTAATTATATAACTAGGATTGTTACATGTTGAAACGACGCTAATCGAGTATTGTTCATCGGGAATGTTTTGCGGGATTCGCTTTGACAATATTTTATCTTTCCTTCACTGTAGCTAGCTTGTGGAATATATATACATATTTTATTATCTCATGGAAATGTCGCTGTCGAAATTTATCACGTCACTGTTAATTATTTAGGTTGCAAAAGGAGCTCATGGTGCTGATGATGAGCACTGAACAAGGAGTATCTGCCTTCCCAGAGGGAGAAAATTTATTTAAGTGGATTGGGACTATCACAGGACCAAGAGACACAGTAAGAGATTGTTTAATAAACTATCCTAAATCACCAAACTTTAAATGATGTTATTAATATTGTGATATGATAGCAAGAGAAGGTCTAATGCAAGTTTTATACTTATATTACAGGTATATGCTGGTCTCACCTACAAATTAACTTTAGAGTTTCCACACAGTTATCCATATAGCGCTCCTATAGTACGCTTTGCTACGCCTTGCTTTCATCCAAATGTAGATACCGGTGGTAACATCTGTCTGGATATACTAAAAGATAAGTGGAGCGCGTTGTACGATGTGCGTACTATTTTACTTTCTATACAGTCCCTTCTTGGTGGTAAGTAATAAATAAAGCAATAGATCAATGCTATGATAAATCAATATGACACTGATTTAAATCACTCTTTGTTATATAGAACCTAACAACGAGAGTCCACTTAATCTCGAAGCAGCAGAGCTATGGAACAATCAGACAAAATATAAAAAGTATCTGATGGAAGAATATCATAGAGCATTCGATCGAGCACAGAGCAATCGTAACCAACAAGATTCATGATGAGCCATAATCTACTGTAATCTATATTATGTGAATCACATTTAATATTATTATTCCTATCAATGATAGGATTGAATGTAAGATTAAGTAGAATTTTCTGTATTTTCTGTACTTCTCTTAAAAGTCATTAAGTACTGTTAAATTTTTTAATGGAATTTTTTTCTTTTGGGACACATGACCATATACAAAATTCTTCATGAATTGATGTTGCTTAGCATTTAACTTATTACTTTTGCAAGATTTTTAAAAACTTTTGTAAGAGCGATATATATATATATAAATTCATATAATCACTGATATTAGGACGATTGCACAAGAATTGCATTTATTTATTTTTATTGCGTAGAAACAAACGTATTGGTTTTTTATCATTACTATCATTGCTCATGTTTTATACATATAGTATTTGCACTTGATATTTGTGTGTTTCCATTTCTACCATTACTGTGTATAGTTCTCAAAAATAAATATTTTAATGACCGTACAGTCGTTCAATTTGCAATTCCCTTTGAAACATGTATAATTTAATATTAATTCTATATTTGATACAATTCTATGTACTATTTTTTCAATGTGACAAATGTATACAAACACATATACATATAACTAGTATTATATGGAAAATAAATAAATATTATTTGTAACAAAAAAGAGAAAGAGTATACCTGTATCAAGAGAAAAATATAAATATTTGTGTGTGTCAATTATATATACGAACGTTAAGATTAATACGCGAATTTCCCGCCAATAACTTTTATATAACTTGTATATATTTAATCACTAAATATTCTGAAGATAATTCAATTCTTTCTGCTTTTACATGTTGAAGATATTGATAAAATATATTATTTAAAAATAATTAAACAATTTAAAGAATGAAATTTAAATTATAAATGATTAATTAATATTTAATTATTAATCGAATTATATATTAATTAACATTAATACATATTAAATATATTTTCTTAATTATTAATCATCAGTGATAAAACATAGAAATTTATTATCTATTAAACTGTATGTTTCAGGAACGATATGGACTGATTTTAAGCCGCAGATCGAAAATCTAAATGCGGACAAGCTGACCATAGTGGCGTGGGATCCACCCGGTTATGGAAAATCGCGACCACCCGATAGAACTTTCCCGGACGATTTCTTTCAGCGCGACGCAACGATGGCTCACAATCTGATGCAAATTCTGGGCTACTCGAAATTTTCTCTAATCGGCTGGAGCGATGGCGGCATCACATCACTCCTGCTTGCTTCATCGTATCCCGAGAATATTTATAAGATGGTGGTTTTTGGTGCGAACGCGTACATACATCCAGACGAGACAAAAATATATGAAAGTACGATTTTCTTATCTCTTATTTTTTAATAATAATATAATTCAATAAAATTACGTTATAATTTGTACAAAATGTCAAAATTTGCTAAAAGTAAGATATAGTTAAGATTTGAGGAAATTGCTAAATTTGCCAAGATTCACAAAAACTGTTAGAATTTCTAGAAACATTGTTTTTTTTTTTAACTAATTAAAATTTATAAAAAATGAGAGATTTTGCTGTCGCTTTATCAAGATTGCGTTAATTATTTCGTTTCTTTTTTATTCGCGTAAATCTTCATAAAATATTCCTGTCTAGATCTCAGAGACATCAACAACTGGTCGGAAAGAATGAGGAGATCTAACATTGAAATTTACGGCGAGGATTGTTTTAAAAAAACCTGGTCAGGTTGGGTAGACGCTATGCAAAGATTGTACGAAAAGCAAAATGGTAATTTGTGCAAAGAGGTTCTATCGAAAATAAAGTGTCCGACGTTGATTATTCACGGAGCCAAAGATCCGATAGTTTTGCCGGAACATCCGGAATATCTAAAGCAAAACATCGCCAGCTCAAAGTTTGTATTACTTATAGATTTGAAAACATCTAATTTTTCTTGTATTACAGCATGCGTGTTTTCGAAAAAGGCGGACATAATCTTCATTTGAAATATTTTGAAGAGTTCAATAAGTTGGTAACGGATTTCTTGCTGGATCAATCAAAAATATAATAAATATTTGCTGTGATATTGATAATGAATTTATGTATTATATATATATGGTGGTAGAGATTTATACAATATATATTTATCAAATTATATAGTGTTTATCAAAGACAAAGCAGTTTATTATATTATTGTATGTATACTAAATATTTTATAATAATTCAATATTAGTAAATGCAACATTTATTTTTGTTTCTTTTTATCTTTAAAGTCTTACAATTCTTATACAAAAAATAATCTTTTAATATCTCCAGTTTAAGTGATATACTTGGCATATTTAACATAATTTGAAAAAATCCTCTCATATATATATACATATATATCATTTTTAGTCCAAAATGAAAATAGTACAAATTTAATGCTGCCATTATATATATATGTATAAATTTAGATAAATAAAACCAAGTATTTATATATAGAGAAATTATCATATATTTAGCAGATAATAATTCCATAATGATTCAGACCATTAAAAATAATGTCTTATTCAAATTCACGTTAAACGGTAAAGTAAAAGCACAATTTTATCGACAGCGGGGTAAAAGTAAAAAGTACTCACCGTTCGCGACGCCACTGTATCGATGCCCGGCGATTCTCGGAATTGCTGCAAACGGCTATCTTCCCCCTCCCTCACATTTTCCTCCAACTTCCAGGAATCTGCAACGGTGGTCCCACGGAATCCGGCCGGCGCATCCAATATCGTTGCCATCGGCTAGCAATAACACTTATTCCACTTTTGACGAACTCGAAGCGACAACTCCAGCGAAATGCGGAGCGGCTCCGATTCGTCACTACTTGATATATATATATATATATATCACAATAAGCTCGCTATATACACTATGCACTTTTGCTATAGACACTTATTTACTATGCTGCTTGTTTTGCACTGCGTTATATATTTCACTCGCGACGATGACGAATTATGGGCGAATTATCCACTTCTTCGGAGTGGAAATACGAGAAAGAGATACGAATTAACTGCGATTTCGAATCGCGGATGAGTAGTACAATCTGCCATCGATCATAACCGATTACGATGCTGACACGCGCTTGACAGCGATATTTGACATAACGACAAACGCGCGACACATTACTCGGCGCTTCCGATAAAGGTTCGCGCGCGAAACTCACTTTCGGCGAATCGAAATCGCGAAAAATACACGGAGCAACTTTTCGAATCCGACCTGCCGCGTCGCGAGCCGCTTCGTTACTCCACATATCGAACTCTGCTTGCGATTCTCGAAGCGAGTATGCCCTCGATGCAGCGGGCCAATCACAGCGCTCGGCTCGTCGCAGCGAGTCAACCATAGGTGGATAGTTCGATACTCGCTTGCGATTCTCGAAACATCGACGCAGCCAGCCAATCGCAGCGACTCGCTCACTTTTTGAATATCATGTCACGCAAACTGTATGAAAAATAATGCAGGGAGAATTCGAATATCCGACATATTGAAATAATAGCGTAAAAAGGCATCTGAGACCATCGTACTTTTTTCAATCTTAAAAGAATTAAATATTCTTGAAACATATATGTGGTACCTTTTTTCTCCCCCCTTCTCTCCTCTGGGAAAATTATTCGCGATATACATAATATATGTAAACGATCGCGCGATTATGAAGATCTACGGAATCGCTTGATAACGATTGATACGTGATACTTGAATGCACTGTATGATAAACGCGAACGATACTTATTTGTTCGACATTCCTGAATTCGCGCACGAGGCTCATCACCAGGGTATCGTAATTCGCGAGAAAATATGGGATAGTTTCTCGAATCTGAACTACCGGCCGCGAAGCGACCCGTCCGTTATTGCGATTAAAGTACAGATGCCTCGATACAGCCGACCAATCAGAGCGCTCGATTCGTTACAACTCTTAAAGTATCTATACACTAGATGCAGCGAACCAATCACAGTCCTCTTCTAAGAATTAAGATCGCGCGAATTACGATAAATGTTACAGATAGAATGTAAACCATAAACTTCGAAATAATAATGGGTAACATGAGAAGAAACTTCGATCATTGTATCTTGATTATTATATTAAAAAGCTTTTTAAGAGAGCTTGTTAAGGATTAAATTAAATGTCCCCAAATAAGTATGGGGGAATGTCAAATTGAGTTATAGGCAATCGTTTTAGCTGATCGATCGATATAATTATACATATTTGAAATGACAATGAATTAAATTAACCGTTTTCTGTCTAAAAATGTAATATTAATTATACATCTAATCGTATACTTTTTGAGTTGCTATAATACGATGACATTTTTATTTATTTAAAGTTATGGAAGAACGATCAAAATTCGTCTTAAAGAAGTCGAGATAAATCTTTATTTTAATAGTAATATAATTTATAACAATGTTTTTATGTTGTTATTCTTATCGATATGTATCCGCGTTTTGTTTTAACTAGATATATCGATGACATCACCAATGAGGCGATGTAGATAGGCAATGCAGAATTTTTTCTTGATATTTGTTCATGTTGCTTTTATAAAATAATACGTTATATATCAATTGAAATCATCATATAATTTTAATATTTCAATCATTTATACCAACTTGTATATATGTGTAATGATTCATATATATATATATATAGCTAGACTAAATATTTTTTATCTTAATTTACATATATATACCGAACATATAATTTACATATAATTTCGTTTATATAATTATTCTAACATGTAGTTATTTACGCATGAAAAGAAGCTGTCTTGATATTTTATTTCAATTTATTTCTGTTCTTAAAACTATCAATGATTAAATTATATATATTTTAATATTCTGCTATTTTTGATGCAATAGTATATAAATTTGAAATAATTAATCAAAATGCTGTTTGAAATGTTTCAAGAAAATAACTAACAATACATTCTTATAATAATCCGAAAATAATTCAAAAAATAGAATTTTATGTGCGACTCCAGACGCAAAATCAGAGATCGCAATCGACCTATGGCCGATTCTTGTCGATATACTCAGCATGTCGCATTCGAGATATTTACCGAAAAATTCTTCACATATGGATAGAAAGCGGTCTTGTGCTACTTATTATACAAATGCCTTTAGGTATAAAAGAGGGCCAATGCTGTTTTATTTCATTCTGTCTGGCGATTAAACAGTGGTTGACCAAACGGCAATCTACGACCCTAAATAGCGCTCCGTAGGGGTTCCCAAGTCAGTACTGAAACAGAGATAATGCGCCAGCATTATCTAAATCGAAGGTGTGGTTCATGAACTTTTAATGCCAATCCATTTCGATCGAGAGATAACCCGAGGCTTAATTTCTCTAGCTTGCGGCCTATTTCGCAAATAGATTAGAAGTAGATTAGAAGCAAAACAATTTTGAAGCATGCTGTTTTTCACAAGGATAGCAATAAACATTGCACAATAGAAAGTGAAAGATTTAACATTTAAATGATAAAAATATGATTTGTAAAGATTTATTATAAATAGAAATGTATGTACTTGAATTGATATAAATCTATAATTTGCTATAACTGTTTTAAGTTATTCATATATGAAGTTTGAAGAATGAACTTTACGAATTATAGACTTGCTTCGCTCTTATATCCTACTGTATTTTATTGAAAAATGTGGATTATAGTGTTAAAGATTTAAAAAGAAATATTTCCAAATTTCGTGAATATAAGAGAAGTCGAACAATTACAGGATATTTAACTGTATTGCCGCGGTCGTATTCCACTTATATACACAAGAGCAAACAATTTTTCATTTTTTATATGTCGACATTTACATTTCCGCTGAGATATTACAGAATCATGCTCCCGGGGACGTGGGTAGCGTGCGTTTCAATTTTTCGTATTAGATATGCCCATGTGATATGTGTGCAAATCCGAACACATCGCGTATTTTCGAATATTCTGGAGACTTCTCCATCAATTAAATTTTATCGTGAATCTAAGATTAATTCATATTTCTAATAAAATCAAATAAAAATTTACTTGTTAACTCAACGATCTGTCTTTACTTCAATCACTCTCCTTCTTATGAGACAATATCTATTCGATTAAATAAGCAGATACATTTTCTTCACAAATTATGATTTATATTTTCATCTGCACGATTTGTAGATTATCGCAGTAATCTTGAAAAAAAACCGTTAAATTTAATAAAGTTACGTTATCGATGTAATCAAAATTTACAAAAAACCAGGAGATTATATAGGTCGGAGACACGTTCACCCGATGCAGCAGCGAAGATGCGGCCGATCGAAAGAAAGAGCACTACATCTAATTTTTCTTGTATTACAGCATGCGTGTTTTCGAAAAAGGCGGACATAATCTTCATTTGAAATATTTTGAAGAGTTCAATAAGTTGGTAACGGATTTCTTGCTGGATCAATCAAAAATATAATAAATATTTGCTGTGATATTGATAATGAATTTATGTATTATATATATATGGTGGTAGAGATTTATACAATATATATTTATCAAATTATATAGTGTTTATCAAAGACAAAGCAGTTTATTATATTATTGTATGTATACTAAATATTTTATAATAATTCAATATTAGTAAATGCAACATTTATTTTTGTTTCTTTTTATCTTTAAAGTCTTACAATTCTTATACAAAAAATAATCTTTTAATATCTCCAGTTTAAGTGATATACTTGGCATATTTAACATAATTTGAAAAAATCCTCTCATATATATATACATATATATCATTTTTAGTCCAAAATGAAAATAGTACAAATTTAATGCTGCCATTATATATATATGTATAAATTTAGATAAATAAAACCAAGTATTTATATATAGAGAAATTATCATATATTTAGCAGATAATAATTCCATAATGATTCAGACCATTAAAAATAATGTCTTATTCAAATTCACGTTAAACGGTAAAGTAAAAGCACAATTTTATCGACAGCGGGGTAAAAGTAAAAAGTACTCACCGTTCGCGACGCCACTGTATCGATGCCCGGCGATTCTCGGAATTGCTGCAAACGGCTATCTTCCCCCTCCCTCACATTTTCCTCCAACTTCCAGGAATCTGCAACGGTGGTCCCACGGAATCCGGCCGGCGCATCCAATATCGTTGCCATCGGCTAGCAATAACACTTATTCCACTTTTGACGAACTCGAAGCGACAACTCCAGCGAAATGCGGAGCGGCTCCGATTCGTCACTACTTGATATATATATATATATATATCACAATAAGCTCGCTATATACACTATGCACTTTTGCTATAGACACTTATTTACTATGCTGCTTGTTTTGCACTGCGTTATATATTTCACTCGCGACGATGACGAATTATGCGCGAAATCCACTTCTTCGGAGTGGAAATACGAGAAAGAGATACGAATTAACTGCGATTTCGAATCGCGGATGAGTAGTACAATCTGCCATCGATCATAACCGATTACGATGCTGACACGCGCTTGACAGCGATATTTGACATAACGACAAACGCGCGACACATTACTCGGCGCTTCCGATAAAGGTTCGCGCGCGAAACTCACTTTCGGCGAATCGAAATCGCGAAAAATACACGGAGCAACTTTTCGAATCCGACCTGCCGCGTCGCGAGCCGCTTCGTTACTCCACATATCGAACTCTGCTTGCGATTCTCGAAGCGAGTATGCCCTCGATGCAGCGGGCCAATCACAGCGCTCGGCTCGTCGCAGCGAGTCAACCATAGGTGGATAGTTCGATACTCGCTTGCGATTCTCGAAACATCGACGCAGCCAGCCAATCGCAGCGACTCGCTCACTTTTTGAATATCATGTCACGCAAACTGTATGAAAAATAATGCAGGGAGAATTCGAATATCCGACATATTGAAATAATAGCGTAAAAAGGCATCTGAGACCATCGTACTTTTTTCAATCTTAAAAGAATTAAATATTCTTGAAACATATATGTGGTACCTTTTTTCTCCCCCCTTCTCTCCTCTGGGAAAATTATTCGCGATATACATAATATATGTAAACGATCGCGCGATTATGAAGATCTACGGAATCGCTTGATAACGATTGATACGTGATACTTGAATGCACTGTATGATAAACGCGAACGATACTTATTTGTTCGACATTCCTGAATTCGCGCACGAGGCTCATCACCAGGGTATCGTAATTCGCGAGAAAATATGGGATAGTTTCTCGAATCTGAACTACCGGCCGCGAAGCGACCCGTCCGTTATTGCGATTAAAGTACAGATGCCTCGATACAGCCGACCAATCAGAGCGCTCGATTCGTTACAACTCTTAAAGTATCTATACACTAGATGCAGCGAACCAATCACAGTCCTCTTCTAAGAATTAAGATCGCGCGAATTACGATAAATGTTACAGATAGAATGTAAACCATAAACTTCGAAATAATAATGGGTAACATGAGAAGAAACTTCGATCATTGTATCTTGATTATTATATTAAAAAGCTTTTTAAGAGAGCTTGTTAAGGATTAAATTAAATGTCCCCAAATAAGTATGGGGGAATGTCAAATTGAGTTATAGGCAATCGTTTTAGCTGATCGATCGATATAATTATACATATTTGAAATGACAATGAATTAAATTAACCGTTTTCTGTCTAAAAATGTAATATTAATTATACATCTAATCGTATACTTTTTGAGTTGCTATAATACGATGACATTTTTATTTATTTAAAGTTATGGAAGAACGATCAAAATTCGTCTTAAAGAAGTCGAGATAAATCTTTATTTTAATAGTAATATAATTTATAACAATGTTTTTATGTTGTTATTCTTATCGATATGTATCCGCGTTTTGTTTTAACTAGATATATCGATGACATCACCAATGAGGCGATGTAGATAGGCAATGCAGAATTTTTTCTTGATATTTGTTCATGTTGCTTTTATAAAATAATACGTTATATATCAATTGAAATCATCATATAATTTTAATATTTCAATCATTTATACCAACTTGTATATATGTGTAATGATTCATATATATATATATATAGCTAGACTAAATATTTTTTATCTTAATTTACATATATATACCGAACATATAATTTACATATAATTTCGTTTATATAATTATTCTAACATGTAGTTATTTACGCATGAAAAGAAGCTGTCTTGATATTTTATTTCAATTTATTTCTGTTCTTAAAACTATCAATGATTAAATTATATATATTTTAATATTCTGCTATTTTTGATGCAATAGTATATAAATTTGAAATAATTAATCAAAATGCTGTTTGAAATGTTTCAAGAAAATAACTAACAATACATTCTTATAATAATCCGAAAATAATTCAAAAAATAGAATTTTATGTGCGACTCCAGACGCAAAATCAGAGATCGCAATCGACCTATGGCCGATTCTTGTCGATATACTCAGCATGTCGCATTCGAGATATTTACCGAAAAATTCTTCACATATGGATAGAAAGCGGTCTTGTGCTACTTATTATACAAATGCCTTTAGGTATAAAAGAGGGCCAATGCTGTTTTATTTCATTCTGTCTGGCGATTAAACAGTGGTTGACCAAACGGCAATCTACGACCCTAAATAGCGCTCCGTAGGGGTTCCCAAGTCTGTACTGAAACAGAGATAATGCGCCAGCATTATCTAAATCGAAGGTGTGGTTCATGAACTTTTAATGCCAATCCATTTCGATCGAGAGATAACCCGAGGCTTAATTTCTCTAGCTTGCGGCCTATTTCGCAAATAGATTAGAAGTAGATTAGAAGCAAAACAATTTTGAAGCATGCTGTTTTTCACAAGGATAGCAATAAACATTGCACAATAGAAAGTGAAAGATTTAACATTTAAATGATAAAAATATGATTTGTAAAGATTTATTATAAATAGAAATGTATGTACTTGAATTGATATAAATCTATAATTTGCTATAACTGTTTTAAGTTATTCATATATGAAGTTTGAAGAATGAACTTTACGAATTATAGACTTGCTTCGCTCTTATATCCTACTGTATTTTATTGAAAAATGTGGATTATAGTGTTAAAGATTTAAAAAGAAATATTTCCAAATTTCGTGAATATAAGAGAAGTCGAACAATTACAGGATATTTAACTGTATTGCCGCGGTCGTATTCCACTTATATACACAAGAGCAAACAATTTTTCATTTTTTATATGTCGACATTTACATTTCCGCTGAGATATTACAGAATCATGCTCCCGGGGACGTGGGTAGCGTGCGTTTCAATTTTTCGTATTAGATATGCCCATGTGATATGTGTGCAAATCCGAACACATCGCGTATTTTCGAATATTCTGGAGACTTCTCCATCAATTAAATTTTATCGTGAATCTAAGATTAATTCATATTTCTAATAAAATCAAATAAAAATTTACTTGTTAACTCAACGATCTGTCTTTACTTCAATCACTCTCCTTCTTATGAGACAATATCTATTCGATTAAATAAGCAGATACATTTTCTTCACAAATTATGATTTATATTTTCATCTGCACGATTTGTAGATTATCGCAGTAATCTTGAAAAAAAACCGTTAAATTTAATAAAGTTACGTTATCGATGTAATCAAAATTTACAAAAAACCAGGAGATTATATAGGTCGGAGACACGTTCACCCGATGCAGCAGCGAAGATGCGGCCGATCGAAAGAAAGAGCAATAAAAAAAGGCGGAATGTAGATTGCAGCGGGTGTAGCCAAATATGGGCAAGTGGTTCCTCGCGTCGATCAAGTAAACCTCCGTCTCTCTTTTTTTCTCGCGCACTATCTCACTTTCTTTTTTTTTCACCTTTCGTGAAACGATACAAGAGAAGAGCACTTAAAAGAAGCGTCAGGATTCGCGCAAATGCGTCTTACGAATCTTCCTCCTTCCCTTCCCCTCGTTCTTAATCTCGAGAATCCCATAACGCTAAAACACATCGAGTTGTCTCGTTCCCTCGGAAACCGTACGGGGAAGCCAACAAAAGTTATTACACTGCGGGCGTATAACGATGAAATATTCAGTTCTATTCCGTGGATTTCAAGAATGTTGGAATTATGCTTTCAGGATATTTTTTTTTAAGAGATCGCGCAAGTATAAATTTTTAAGTGCTATAATAATAATCAATATTAATCATTAAATATAATTTTAAAAAAATACGCAATATACAATAATAGTTTACGATAAACTATAATCACAATTCTTTGTGATTTATCAATTATAAACGCATTTGAAGAATCATGTTCTTGTGATTTAATTTTGCTTCTGATTTAATTCTTAGCTCTCTTTCTCTCTCTTCCTTTGAATAATCGAATACCATAATGGATCATTCTGGATTTGTATTGCTCCGCGCATTTTGCCGATGTAACAGTACAAAAGCGACTAACGAGATCGCCTTGTACGTCCCACCCAATGTTGTAGAACTTCTGACTCTTGATTCCTTCTTCATTAAGTGGGAGGTCCTTTATTGCCTTTAAATGGCGTCGATGGCACTAACATGACGCATTGTGTAATACCTAGTGATCAAATAAAAAAGCGAGCATCATATCAATACATATAGTTATTATCGGCATGATATCAGCTTTGCATGCTATAAATTAAGAATACATATAAAATAAAACGGAACAATTAATAATATTTAAATATTAGTTAAAAAACTACAATATATTAATGAAACTGTAACTTCAACATATATCAGTTGCGCATAGTAAAATGTTGATAAGTGTTATAAATTGAAAATATAATTATATATTGTCACTCATACATATATATATATATATATATATATATATGTGTCTAGTTTACGATAAACTATAATCACAATTCTTTGTGATTTATCAATTATAAACGCATTTGAAGAATCATGTTCTTGTGATTTAATTTTGCTTCTGATTTAATTCTTAGCTCTCTTTCTCTCTCTTCCTTTGAATAATCGAATACCATAATGGATCATTCTGGATTTGTATTGCTCCGCGCATTTTGCCGATGTAACAGTACAAAAGCGACTAACGAGATCGCCTTGTACGTCCCACCCAATGTTGTAGAACTTCTGACTCTTGATTCCTTCTTCATTAAGTGGGAGGTCCTTTATTGCCTTTAAATGGCGTCGATGGCACTAACATGACGCATTGTGTAATACCTAGTGATCAAATAAAAAAGCGAGCATCATATCAATACATATAGTTATTATCGGCATGATATCAGCTTTGCATGCTATAAATTAAGAATACATATAAAATAAAACGGAACAATTAATAATATTTAAATATTAGTTAAAAAACTACAATATATTAATGAAACTGTAACTTCAACATATATCAGTTGCGCATAGTAAAATGTTGATAAGTGTTATAAATTGAAAATATAATTATATATTGTCACTCATACATATATATATATATATATATATATATGTGTCAGTTAAACATATTTCTATCTTTTTATACAATATAAAAAACGTGATTAATTTCTCTCAAAATAAATTTATGTGCGTGACAATCTCTAATTTTTTATTTTGCTTCTGTTAAAAATCGAGAACGTGCGAATGCAATCTCTTTCTTCTCAAGGCAACGGATGTAATCCTACCTCCAGAATCAAATGCCAAGAGAGGAGAACTTCGTCCTCCTTCGTCGCGATGCATATATCGTTGGCGACCTCCGCAAGCGGAAAGCCATTTACGGCAAACACGCCGACGTTGTCGTCTGTTTTCGAGCTCCCGTATCGCTCGATCCCATGAGAAAGTGGTCATGTCTCAAAACTTTTAGCCTGGATATATGAAAGAGACCCTCTCTCGAACAAGGATGTCTCCAGAAACACTGAGTCGCACGATTTCGCCGTGGATTATGCTTTTTGCGAATGTTGCGCTTGGATAAAATGTGTAATTCTACTTATTTCATTTTTCTGTATGGAAAACAAAAAAAAACAGAAATGAGTATCAATCGTGTCAAATGTCGATTGTATTATTTTTTTCAACCCTTAAATTCCCAATCAAAAGACTTTGAGAATGTGTGTATTATAAGTTTATATATTTTGTTATATTTCACATTTTAGTAAAAATAGTTTCCTTATAATATTCTCGTTTTCTACTGTATTCTGTAATTTTGCGTGTCTACCGAATTTCAAGCGATAATACTTAATACTTTTGCATTAAAATATTATTATATAATATTCGTATTAATTAACTTTGTATAAAGCTAATGTACGATGGATCGTATTTAAGAGAAACTACATGTATATAAAATTGAATTCGCAATCTAAAGATTAATTGAAGATCATAAATAAATAAATAAGAAATTAATCGAACATATATGAATCCGTGATATCATATAAAAAGAGACCTTTTGGAAATCTAATATATTTTGGGATGTAATATGGCACCACCCAATTTACTTACCACCCACTCCCGATTACGTCAGTAATGAGACAAATAAACAGGCCTGCGGAAGCATTTAAGCGTATCTGTTGCCGTTCACCTTCTTAGGATCAATAAAGTACCAGGCGAGGCAAGGTCTAGTCTGGGTCGCTCCTCTTTTTAGCCATCAATTCTGTACATACAACAATATCTTATCTATACATATATATTTTTATTAAAATAGCTTGACCATGTGACAAACGTCAATGTGCCCCCATTTCTATAATTTCCATAATTTTAATATCCAAATATGGATTTTAACATCCTATATTTTGCATTAATTTGCTTATCAATTATCAAGATTATATTATTTTCTAGATTTCTCTCGAAAATTTATTCTCGGCTCAATTACTTTTATATATGCCATATATAAAAGCCAGACATAAAATCGCCATTAACCGGCTGGTTGGCTAGTCCTCAGAAATGGGAATCGCACGCGACTCACCCTGCGGCATGTTATATATATAGACGATATCGATCGTGTACGATGACTCAATGCTTGCCGTTTCTGAATCAAGGTAGTTTTATATGACGAACCCCTCGTCGCGATCATTTGTTTCATCAAGGTGAATTTCGCGCGTGGTTCGCGGAAATTCTGCACAATTCACACGAGAGGGTGGGAATGCATTTATGGAGCAAAATAGCGCCCATCCACCCCGAGGTCGATAACCGTGACTCATGCTGAACCTCCCTTGGTGCTTGGTGTGACATGCGTACAAAATGTCATAGGTTCGCCTGTTACCAGGTAGGAATCCAGCGACATCCACAATATGTACGTCGACGCGCAATTGATCAAGTCTGACACTGGAAAATAAAGAATTGATTATAGGAATATTAAGTTCGGGTTGACAAATAGTTAATAAATTATGCCATGATCTAGATTTCGTATATTTGCGAATCTCGATCGAATCGAGCTCAATTGAAGCTAACAGAACATGTCTTTAATTAGAAACTATTTAAATATCTGTTTGATAAAAATAATCCTGCGAATAAAATTTCATGAGAATTAATGGACTTAATTGCATTCACATCGATCAGAATCATCTAAATCGGAAGTACCATTAACGTAATTTTATTTCGCTAGCTAATTTCTACTTCGAACTTTCACGTAAATTAATATAATGTATCTGTTAATTTGATAAAAATGCAGTAAAAAGCAGTAAATAAGCCATTTTTTAATCTAAAATATTTCTACACGTGTAATAAATAAAAATTTTCTGTAATTATATATCTTTAAAATATTTGCATAACATATTGTGAATTATTATGGATTGCACATTATGTAAGCATCATTCTTAATAAAACTCCATTAAACAGAATAATAATTTGCATTCTACACTAAAAGCGATAAATTTTTAACGAGTGTTTTTCTCTATAATATTAATAAAAATTTTATTGTGTCATAATTCTCTTTTATTTAGGAAGTCTATTATCGCCGTTTTAAATTTATTAAAAAAAAAAGAATATACGTATATACATACATACATATATACACACACATACACACATACATTAATAGAGCTATCGATAATCAATAAGAGTTTATTAAGGAAGTCGCGGTCAGCTTTGATTCTGATTTGTAAGTTAGATTTAGTGCTAAATATATGCGATGATGTCGCATATATTCTCGCGTACTTCTTTTGTTGTTACAAACACTTTAGCCGTTATCAGCGATCACATCATGATATAAAAGTGGTATTAAATAATACTCGATTGATACAGATCGATCGTTAATTATCGCGACATAGCCATGTAATGACGCCAACGTTACATTTCTCTTTTTTCTCGCACGGAAACGTGCTCGGATATATATGTGGTTCTAAACTAGACATGATGTCACCCGACGTTTATACTCGCAAACTCGCTACTTAATAGCATAGCCAACGAAGGACAATGGACATTAAGCCGAGCGCTTCCACGTGGATTGTTCTTCTGTCAGGCATTATGCAATTCTCTGCGGCAAGACTGACGAAAAACTTTTCGATTTACGTCAACAGTCCCTCATGTATTAATCACTATATATATATATATAT